TTGCTGCTTTCACCCCTCCAAGAAACCCGGTTTAAGCAGCAGCCACACATCTGCACAGCTCCCACAAAGGCAGAAACTTTCCAGGTCTGTAGCAGTCGGTGTGTGTTTGTCTTTTTGGTTGCTTCATTGACCCAACCAAGCCTTAATAAAGCTTCCTCTTCCCACCAGCTGTCCTTTCATTTACTGCCCCTTCTCCAGCTTCTGCAGCAGCAAAACAGCTGACAAGCCCTGGTGAAACACTGATTCACAGCCCCGTCCTGCACGCTGTGTAAGGAGGACACAATCACAGCTGCTTCACAAGGCAGGGGAGAAACCAACCCAGCTGTCTGCTTACCCCTCTCACAGCCCCCCTCCAATGCTTCAGAGACCTTTCCTGTCCCTCAGAGTCTCAGCACTCCTCTGCCTTCTCTGGATCCATGTCCAGCCTCTGCATCCTTCCTCTCCACCAAAAGAAATAGCTCCCGTGTGTCCCTCCAGCAGTCAGGTTGTTGGTTGTTGTTTTTTTTTTCCAACAGCTGAATCTTTCATCTCCTCCACACCTGGTGGTCCACCTCCTGCCAGCACCCCATGGAGTTACATAACAGCAGCAGCATTTCACAGAAGGCAGAATCTCAGAGTGAAAAATGAGGAACTGACCCCAAAAAGCCTTCTTCAAACCATCCCAGCTTCATCACTCCCTAGGCATCCTCCCACTCAGTATCTTTCTGGGTGGCACCTTGCACCGTGTTTGCCACAGCACTGATCCCATCAGAGCATGCAGGGAAAAAAAGAGCAATTCCAAGCAGAAAGCACCAAATCCTACTGTATTGTCCCCAAACAAAATCCCTGAGGATGAAAACCTCACATTCACCTGCCTGTATCCTCTCTGCAACATTTTGTTTGTATTTTAGACTCCTGGACTCATGCCTAAAACCCTCACTGAGAGTAAGGGGCTGGCAGATTACACTGATTGATTTTCCAAATTAAACTGTTCAAAGTTATCAGAATTCAGAAACAGTAAGGAAAATTTCCTGGTAGGGACAAATGTAAAAATATTCAACCTGTTATAAAACCTAAACCCTCTTTTCTGGTAGCTCTTTGAAAATAGCCTTTCTAACGCTCAGATCACATCCCTTTTCAAATGCTCTTGACAAACATTGGTCATTTTGCTATCCCAAATACACAGGTAAAATACAAATAACTGGCCTTGAAAGGTTTCTTTGCTGTTTCTCTCCCTCTCTCCTCTGTACAAACACAAGTTATTTCATTTTTCATTTCAAGCTGAAGCTTTGAATAAGTAGGCAGACAGCTACATCTTCTCACGTCCGTGCAGTGAAACAACTGCCTGTGTAAACCAAAGGGTTTTGAGAACCATTTTCTCCTCAGTCAGGCAGCTGAGTGTGACACCAAGCTGGAGAACACCGATGTGAAACTCTGCAGTTCATCACAGCAACACACCTGCTGAGGAGAAGATTGCAAGACCTGGGTTATGATGTCTCTTTTCCAGCGCGGGTCCAATGAAACCGGCGGCTGTTTTCGGCACGGCTAAAAATGTGCAATGGTTGATGTTATCTGCACAAAGCAGATAAACCTTCTACATTTTGCATTCAGTCAGCAGTCACATGAATGATGAGGCATGGGCCAAAGCCCATCTGAATGGGCTGGTTCTCAGTGCCAGCAGCAGAACATGTGAGAGGGAAAAATCCTTGCTCAGTGTTTTTCTCGTGTCATGAGTGGGAGAGGGAAACTGAGACATTGCACCACTGGGTCGCCTGGAGGGCTAGAGCAGTCACCCCAAATTTAGGGGCAAATCAACATCTCAGGTGATAAAAAGGGGAGGTTAATAAAAGATGCAGGGGAGGGTTTTGTAGTATGAGTCACTTTGAATAATAAGGAGAAAATATTCCCGTGATTGAGGCATATTAGCTTCATTAAGACTTGGCTCCTACTCCCAGTTGTGCCACAGCCTTCTTGTGTGCAAAGTCATCTACTCACCTCAAACATGCAAAGCTCCATCCTCGCCTTGGCAGAGACCTGTGAGCTGCTGCCTGCAGCAGGCCCAGGGAAGAACATCAGCCAGGGAGTCTCAACACTGACACAGATGCTGCAGGATGGTGATCCCTTGCTTGGCTTGTAAGACTTTTTTTTTTTTTTCCTTCTTTGTCATCTATCATTTTTTTGTCTGTGGGAGGGGAAGGGAGAAGCTGCCAGGTGCCTTCTCACACTCATCCCTGCTCAGAAGGGATAGG